AAAAAAAAAAAAAAAGAATGAAAAGCCTAAGGGACTAATGAGATACTATGAAGTGGACCAAATACATAACAAGGGAGTTAAAGAAGGAGAAGAGAAAGGATCAGAAAGTATATTTAAAGAAATAGTGGCCAAATACTTCCCAAATCTGAAGGAGATGGACATCCAGATTTAAGAAGTCTAATGGACTCCATGTAGGAGCCATCCTAAGATGGATGTGATAATCAAATTGTCAGAAGTCAAAGACAGAGAAATTTTTAGAAGGAGCAAGACAAAAGTAACTGGCTATAAACAAGAACACCCCCCCCCCATAAAATTGTCAGTAAATTTTTTCAGCAGAAAGTTTGCAAATCAGAAGGGAGTGGGATGATAGATTCAAAGTGCTAAAGAATAAAAAAAAAAAAAGGAAGGCCAACCAAGAACACTGTGACTGGCCAACTGTCCTTGAAAAATGAGAGAGAAGGAAGGACTTTCCCAGAAAAACAAATCAGAGGGAATTCATCACCATTAGTCCTTCCTTACCAGAAATACTAAAGCATTTCCTTCAAGTTGAAGCAAAAAAGATGTTAAACAGCAGCACAAAAGCATATGAAAGTAAAAGCTTGCTGGTAAAGACAGCTGTAGAGGCTGGTGGTGCTCACAGCGCAGTGGGTAGGGCACTGGCCACATACTCCAGGGCCGGTGGGTTCAAACCCAGCCCGGGCCTGCTAAACGACAGTGACAACCACAACAAAAATGCCATTGTGGCAGGTACCTGTGGTCCCAGCTACTTGGGAGGCTGAAGCAAGAGAATCAATTAAGCCCAAGAGTTTGAGGTGGTTGTGAGGGCAACATAATGAGACTCTGTCTCAAATAAATAAATAAATAAAATAAAAAATAAAGACTTCACATTTTTTATGTTTACCTGGATGGAGCTGGAACATACTCTTCTTAGTAAAGTATCTCATGAACGGAACAAAAAGTATCCAATGTACTCAGTACTACTATGAAATCTATATATAATCACATACACATTCATATAAATGGCAAAACGTAGTCCAGAAAGTAGAAGGGAAGAGGAGAAAGAGGGGAGAGGAGGTAGGACATGGGAGGAGGGAGGGTATTTGGAGGGACCTTATCTAATGTGCATTATTCCATGGTACATTTCAAAACTTAAGAAATGAGTATAATTGGGTGGATGTGTTACTTAGTTCAATGTAAGTATTTCACATTGTATATCAAAGCAGTACACTGAACCCCATAAATGCATCAATGTACAAAGTTATGATTTAATAAAAAATTAAAAGAATATAAAAAAATAAAAACAAACATAGAAGACTGAAGAGCTATCATGGTGGTGTGTAAATCAGTTTTAGTTCTGGTATAGAAGTTAAAAGATAAAAATATAAATAAGCCTATAAGTGTAAATCTGTGTTAATGAATACACAATATAAAAATGTTATTAGGACACCAGTAACATAAAAGGGAAGGCTAATATGTAAGAAAATAGTTTTTGTATGTGATTAAAGTTACTATGAGCTTACAAGATATTTTATGTAAACTGCATCATGACCACAGAGAAGATAAATATAGAAGATAAAAGAAAATGAAGAGGGACTCACAGCAGGTCACCACAGAATATCAACTTAATGTTAAGGAAGATAGCAAGAAAAGAAGAGGGTCAAAGAGCTACAAGACAGATAGGAAATAATTAAAATGGCAATAATGAACCCTTTACTATCAAAAATTACTTTAAATGTAAATGGATTAAACTCTTAATCAAAAAACATAGAGCAGTTGAGTGGATTAAAAAAAAAAAAGCCCATATCCAAACTATCTGCTGTCTGCAACAAACTCATATTAGGTCTAAAGATGGAAAGAAATGTTGTATGTAAGTGGTAACCCAAAGAGAGCAGGGCTGGCAGACAAATGCACTTTAAGTCAAAAAACTGTCACGAGAAACAAAAACATTCTGTCAAGTAAAAAGGTCAATTCTCCACAAAGATATAATAATTATAAACACATGTATTAAAGTTTCTCTGGAAAAACAGAATAGAATGTGTGTGTGGATGTACAGAAAGTGCCAAAAAGTGTATACTCATTTTAAAAAAGGAAAAAAAAAAACTGTATTAAAATTGTAAAACTCAAGTCATTTACAATATGCTTCGTAAATGTATACAAATAATACATTTGACTTCTGCAGTTATAAGAGATACAAGATACAATATGCAAGATAACAAATGTCTATCAGTAGATATTGAGTATTATAATTTTAATACAGTTTTTTCCTTTCTTAAAATGTGTATACATCACCCTCTGTACATATGTATATATATACATATACACACACCTGTGTACATACATATACATATATGCATGGATGGGGTGTATGTGTTTGTGTGTATCTATCTGTCCACATACATATACAGAGAGAGAGAGATTGATTTACTAAGGGAGTTGAGTCTCATGATTAAAGAGAGCTGATGGTGTCAGTTCCAATTGAAGGCAGAAGACCAGCATCCTCGCTTGAAGAGAAATGGCAAGAAATAATTTTTTTTCTCTTAGTCTTTTATTCTATTTAGGCCCACAATAGATTGAATGAGGCCCACCCACACTGGGGAAGGCAGTCTACTCAGTCCCTGATTCAAATGTTGTTTTTGTTTTGTTTTGTTTTGTTTTGTTTTGTTTTTTTGAGACAGAGCCTCAAGCTGTCCCCCTGGGTAGAGTGCTGTGGCCTCACAGCTCACAGCAACCTCCAACTCCTGGGCTCAAGCAAGTCTCCTGCCAGGGCCTCCCAAGTAGCTGGGACCACAGGCACCCACCACAACACCCAGCTATTTTTTTGGTTGCAGCCATCGTTGTTTGGCGGGCCCTGGCTGGATTCGAACCCACCACCTTTGGTGTATGTGGCTGGCACCTTAGCCACTTGAGCCACAGGTGCCGAGCCTCAAATGTTAATCTCATCCAGAAAGAATGTTTAGCCAAATATTTGGGCACCTTGTGGCCCTGTCAATCTGACATGTGAAATTAACTATCACAATAGATAAGCTCCCAATCTCAGAGCACCTAATATGTGAAATATTGATAGAACTGAAGAGAGAAACAGAGAGCAGAGCAATAGTGGGGGGAGCAGTCATTCCTCACTTTCAACAATGGGCTGAACATTTAGAGAGACCATCAGGAAGTAAGATGAGGAACACCTAAGAACACTCTAGACAGATGGACCTAGAGGCATATACACAACATCCTCCCAAAGCACCCAAATGCACTTTTTCCTCAAGCATATGGATAGATCAGAAGTCTCAAAACAAGTCTTAATAAACTTTAGAAGATTGAAATGATACTGTGTATCTGACCACAGTCGAGTGAAACTAGAAATCAGCAGCAGAAGGAAACTGGAAAATCCACAAATATGTGGAAATTAAACACACACTTTCAAACAACCAGTGAGTCAGAGGAGGAATTGGACAATGTCTTGAGACAGACAAAGTGAAAACATAGCATACCAAAACTGAGGTGATGCAGCAAAAGCAGGATTATGAGGGAAATGTATGGAGATAAACAAAAAAGAAAATATCAAGTTAAAAATCCTAACTTTATAACTCAAGGGATTAGAACAAGAAGAGCAAACTAAGCCCAAAGTTAGCAGAAAGAAAGAAATACTAAATATGTCAGTATATGTCCTACAGACTTGGTTGGGGTGGGGCAGCTGTCAGGCAGAGATGTGCAGGATCCAGCAGGTGGAGAGCGCAGGTTATTAAAGGAACACCTTGACATGCTGCTTCTCTTCCTGTGGTTTGACATATTGTCCTTTTCTGTTAGGGCAAAATGGAATATATCTTCGAACTGGATGTTTCAGGGAAAGTGGAAGATGTTGTAGAGACGCTGCTTCAGGTGAGCCGGTGACTTCCTCAAGCGCTCTTTGGGCAGAAACTGGTTTTACCAATTTTGTATTTATAGCTCTTAACCAAACATCGTCTCTTTCTAAATATGTAGATGTACTTGAATATGTTGCCTTTGAGGACTGTGTATTAGGGAGAAGCCATAGGTATAGCAGAAGTCATCTTGACTATCACTAAGTAACAGAATGACTGCTGTTTTTCCTCACTTGTAAAGAAATACATCATCAATATCTGAGGGAAAAAAAATTCATAAATATTTTTAATATTCTAGCTTCACAGAGCATCTTGCCTTGACAAACTGGGTGACCAAATGGCCATGGTAAGTGTTTCTGACAATGTATGTCTTTGACTGTGAATTAACTTGTATTGATATGTTACTTGTAAATACTTACATCCATCCTTTTTAAATGGTCTGTTAAATAGATAACAGCTATCCTGCAGTCACGTTTGGCCAGGACATCATTTGACAAAAACAGGTCAGTTTTTAATGAGCTTATTTCCTGATTGGAATAGCAGTGGTCGTCTTTATCTGTATGCCTCCTCGAGCGTGTCTAAGACTGGTGTCGTCAGCCAGCCACGGTGGCTCAGCCTATAATCCCAGCACTCTGGGAGGACAAGGCAAGTGGACTGCTTGGGCTCAGGGGTTTGAGACCAGCCTGAGCCAGAGTGAAACCCCATCTTTACTAAAAATAGAAAAACTACTGGGCTTAGTAATGGGCACCTGTAGTCCTAGCTACTCTGGAGGCTGAGGCAGAAGGATAGCTCCAGTGCAAGAGTTTGAGGTTCTTATGAGCTGTGACGCCATGGCAGTCTACCCAGGGTGACAGAGTGAGACTCTGTTGCAAAAAAAATAAATAAAATATAATAAAATAAAACTGCTATTGTCAACATTGGTCTTACCCCAAACCTGATTTTCTCAGGGAATGGTCCAACCTCCGTGCAGGAGAAATCTGAGGTGCTTTCCTGCTTCTTCTTCATCCTGACTTCCTGCCTGTCAGCAGGGCCTGTGGACTAATGCTGCAGTCTGTATCCATGGTTCACGCTGTATTGCCTCAGTTCTGGCCACATTCCCCTCCCATCCAGAGCACGGTCACAGCTGTCAGCTCATCTAGCAGACTCCAGTCTTTCCTCTCCATCCTCTTCTCCTCCTGTACCTAATGTCTTTTTAAAATATGCTCTTTCTAAAGAACTTACAAAGTTCTTCAACCCCCCCGCCCCCCCACCCCCTGGATGAAGTCTAAACAGCTCATCACAGTACAGGAGACTCACACATGCTGGCTCACTAGCTAGTTCGCTGCTTCGGTTGCTGCTGTGGGTGGTCGTTGTCCTCTGTGCTCTGGTCACCTGTTACCTGCACTTTCCTTGTGCCGTGTGGTCTCTGAACCTTTTTGTTCATTTCCCTCCACTTAAAAAATAGATCCTCCTCCTGCTTTGCACCCAGCTAACTCCTACTAATTCAGCTTAGTTCTTAGTTCTTCCAGAAAGTCTTTCCTGAGCTTTCAAACTACAGTAGGGGAGAGTATACTCATAACTGTTCTAATGGTTTTTTCATTGATTTTCTTGGCTTTTCTAAGTCTACCATGTATTTTCTGCAAAAGTGATACTTTTATATTTTCATATTATCCTGTTTCCTTTTGTTTAGTAGATGTCCTTATGTTACGTATATTTGGGCTATGGGTCTGTATCTTCATCTCTAATATCACCATGTTAATTACAATATTTTTATGTAACCAGTGGTATCTGGTCGTACAGAGCCTCAGACTTTACTTTCCTTTTGATTTACCATTCTTGGCGCTTCCATATAAATTTAGAATCAGCTTGTCACTTTATGTAACAGAAAGCCTTGCTGGGATTTCGATTGTAATTGCAGTGAATCTGTAGTTTTCTCTTGACTTATTTAGGTCATTAAATTCTTCCTTGTGATTTTTATCATAAAGGTCTTTCCTGTCTTTTTTTTTTTTTTTTTTTTTGAGACAGTCTCACTTTATCGCCCTCGGTAGAGTGCTGTAGTGTCACAGCTCACAGCAACTTCAAACTCTTGGGTTTAAGCTATTTTCTTGCCTCAGTCTCCCAAGTAGCTAGGACTACAGGCACCCACCGCAGTGCCTGGCTATCTTTCCTGTCTTATGTTAGATTTATTCCAATAACTTCATATTTGTGATGGTATTGCAAATGGTATGTTATTAAAGATACTATTTTCTGTTTATTGTTGATATATAGAATGTAATAGATTTTTGCGGAATCATTTTATTGTCAGTAACCCTATGAAACTCTGTGGTCAATTCATTAGCTTTATATTTGCTTTCTTTATATGTATAAAATCTTATCTGTGAAATATTTGCAGTCTCTATTCCCTAGCATTTTTATTTCAGATTTTTCATTCATGCTTAGGACAAAGTATTGGTTGAATGGATTCATTCATTGATGGATTATTATGTGCTTGGCTTTTGCTAGAAGCTTTTGTTTATAAATGAGATTAGTTTGTAATATTCTATTTTATTGCTGTCTTTGTGAGATTTGGGAATCAGTTATCCTGACCTTTGCCCTGTATTTTAATGTGTTGAAGAATTTGCCAGTAAAGCCATCTGTCCAGTAATGTGTTTTTTTGTGTTTGTTTGTTATTTTTCTATTTCTCTATATAACATTAATTTTCTTTCCATTTTTATCCTGGCAGGATATATTAGGTAAGTGGATTACTGAGGGAAGAATAGTCTTCATTTTAGAAAGGAAAATAAATAAGAAGAATTACCTTCTTCTGACCTACTTAGAATGTGTTGTTTTTTTTAAGCAGTTATTTAGACTTGAAATTCTGGATTTCAGCATGGCATTCATTTAAAAAATCTTTTCATTTTAAACTTTTAATTTATCCAGTCTCTACAGTGTTACGCTAAAGAATTTGGGAGTGAAAGTTTTGCAATATTAAATGAAACATTACAGTATTGTGTATTTCCTCTAAAAGAAATAAGTTAAACTTTTGCTAAGATAAGTTTCAGCATATTTTTGAGGAGGTGCTTTCTTGTCGAAGGAACAAAAGGAGGACTATATTTTTTCCCGCTTTTTATTTTGAAAATTTTTAAATCATCACAAGTTGAAAGAATATAATGAATACAGATACCTGATGATCCACCAGGTGTTAATTTAAAATTTTCTGGCTCGGCGCCTGTGGCTCAAGCAGCTAAGGCGCCAGCCACATACACCT